TCCATTTTGCAGTGGTAGGATATTCTTCCTCATCTAAGTTTTGGAGTTGGTATAATGAAACAAAAATTAATCACAAACTAAAAGTAAGCATTCTAGCAGGGAAAGCCTTAACTCACAACTAAAGAAAACAGAGCATTTACAGGAGAAGCAGAATGATGTAGGATTATTCCTAATGAAATAGCATATAGGCTGGGTGTGGTGGCTCATGCCTATAATCTCAGTACTTTGGAAGGCCAAGGTGGGAGGCTCGCTTGAAGCCAGGAGTTCAGATCAGCAAGGGCCACATGGTAAGATCCTGTCTCTACGAAAAATAAATATTAGGGCTGGGCACAGTGGCACATTCCTGTAATCCCAGCACTTTGGATGGGCTGAGGTGGGAGAATTGCTTGAGCCCAGGAGGTCAAGGCTGCAGCAAGCTGTGATGGTGCCACTGCCCTCCAGCCTAGGCAACAAAGTGAGATCCTGCCTCAAACAAAACAAAACAAATTAGCTGGGTGTTGTGGCATGTGCCTGTAGTCCTACCTACTCCAGAGACTGAGGCGAGAGGATCACTTGAGCCCAGGAGTTCAAGGCTGCAGTGTGCTATGATCACACCACAGCCTGGGCAACAGAGCAGGACCCTGACTCTTAAAAATAAAAACAAAAAAAGAAGCTAAGAAAGAAAGAAAGGCTGGGCGCAGTGGCTCATGCCTGTAATCCCAACACTTTGGGAGGTCAAGACTGGTGGATCACTTGAAGTCAGAAGTTTGAGACCAGCTTGGCCAACCTAGTGAAACCCCATCTCTACTAAAAATATAAAAATTAGCTGGGCATGGTGGCACATACCTGTAATCCCAGCTACTCAGGAGGCTGAGGCAGGAGGATCGCTTGAACCCAGGAGGCAGAGGTTGCAGTGAGCCGAGGTAGCGCCACTGCACTCCAGCCTGGATGACAGAGACTCTGTCTCAAAAAAAAAAAAAAAGGAAAAAAAGAAAAAAAGAGAAATACATATAAATGAGGCAGCTAGGTGGGACAATCGTGCTATTCCCAGTGAGACTGGAGTTCTCATAAGACCCATGGGGGTCATAACAGATCAAATTCCTGTAGAGGAACCATCCCTGACCAAAGCAGCAGACCAATGACTCAGGAAAATGATAAAATGGTTCAATTTCAGTTCTCCAGTCCCCAAAAATCTGGAATTGTTAGGTTTGGCCGGAGAAAAAAGCTACAAGAGGGAGAAGCTCAATCCTGACTTCAAACATTTGGACTCTAAATTGCTTTCAAGACTGAATACCGAAGTTCTGTTCAGCCCTTCATGGTGATTTGCAAGACAGTTCAAATCTCTGCAGTAATCCTATACAAAACACTTTCTCAGAATATCTGGGGATACACAGGATTTTGAGAACACTCCTCCATTATGCATACATCAGAAATGGTTGGTGCCATTATCCCACACCTTCTTTACTTGCCAAGCTTCCCACGGAACCTCCAACTCAGAGATCATACTCTGCCCTCACAACATACCCATTACCTGGACTTCCAGGAATCAGAACTTCTGCCCCTTCATGTGGACCTTACTTTTTTGTCACGTCTTGGGTTGTCTTAAAAAAAAATTTTTTTTTTTTTTTTTTT